GGTGGTGGTGGTGGTAGCACTAGTACAAGTACTACGTATACGTATACGTAGTAGGTAGAAGTAGTCGTCGTCGAAGTAGTGGGAGTAGCAGCAGCAGCAGTAGCAGTAGTACTAGTTCCAGGAGAAGCCGTGGTAGTAGCAGCACTTCGTGACTTTAGTGGTACTAGTAGTAGCAGCAGCAGCAGCAGCAGCCGCAGTGGTACTAGTAGCAGGTGGAAGAGCAGAAGCAGTAGTAGTAGTAGTAGTAGTAGTAGTAGTAGTAGTAGTAGTAGTAGTAGTACCAGTAGTCCACCAAAAGAAATGAAAAGCTCACCCGCAGCTGAGCGAGAGGCACCAGCGACCCCCGCCCGGCCGGGAAGCCATGGAAGCCCTCCGGGTCTGGACTTCGGAGAAGGCCCTGGCCGGGAAAGGAAACCTTGACACTGATTTTGTTCATGCAGTTTCGCGTCATTGGTTTGCAAAGCTCACGAAGCGTCATGTTCAGGCGTGTTCACGAAAGGGCACCGCTAACAAGGGGTCCTGGAGCCTATATGAGCACTCAGATGAGTCGTCCACTGTCGGGATAAACTGCTGATGAGGGCACGTCGATGCCATTCTGTGCCCAAGAACCACTGATGAAAGCCGCCTTGACAGTTTTAGCTCCGGGGTCGAAAAATTGCGAAGGCACGCTTCAATCCAGCCGCAGCTTCAGCAGGAATAAAGGATCCGGCAGGCATGCGTGCGGATGTGTTTCCAGCATGCCAAACACGCTCCTGTGCAAGACTGAGTGAGTGCGTTCTTCAGCATGTGGAGCCTGCGAGCTGCGCAGAAGTGTGCGAAACTCGCTCATGCCAGGTTTGACTACGCTTTGGCAGCCGTGCCGGTGTCACAAGTGGTGAGGCATTGAGCAGTGGAGCAGACATGACCCTCAGCCAACCCGTGTAGAGAGTAGAGCATACTGCTGTGTTCATCATGTTCATACATTGACCGCGAAATGACGGCTGACAGTTGAAGGGTTTGCACAATCAGGGAACGTCCAGCATCTCCAAAGATCTCTATAGTTTACAGGAGGTCCCTGGTTTGGTTACTGCACTGCTCGCTAGCCTTGCTAACACTAACACTCACACTAGCACTAACACTAACACGAACAGTACTACTACTACTACTACTACTACTACTACTACTACTACTACTACTACTACTACTACTACTACTACTACTAGCACTTCTACCAGCACTGCCACCAAACTGCCAGTGCCACTGCCACTGTTACTGCCTACTGCTCCGCTGCCACTGCCGCTGCTACTGCCGCTGCTATTGCTGCTGCTGCTACTACTGTTGCTTTTTACTGTGCATTTTTGGGCAAACTGCCGATGGTCCGAAACGATACCTTGACGATACCCAGAGCATCGATCAGCCGGCTCTTTGCGAGCGATGCCCGTTTGTGTGGCGGCACGGGTTGCGCATGTGAGGTATGTTACTCCAATCGATCCCCTGGTACTACATTCAATGGAACAAGAGTCGCAGATGTAACGATGTGCACAGTCCAGTAAGACGATAAGGTCAAAACGACATGCTTAAGACTAAGCTGCTTGTGCGATCTTGGGCGAGGCCCCCACCTGTTTCAAAACCGCCGGCGAAGAGACGTGGCTGGCCCAACTGTTGTGACTTCAGAGCGTTGATAAGCTTGTACTGAAGCCTTCTGCATCCGATGCCGTTCGGCGCTATTCACTGCTAAATGTTGTTTACGTTGACGTTGACCATGTAAATGCAGTAAATCCCCTCTCAGGGCAACGGACTTTCTGCCCAGGTCAGACACCGACAAGCGCTGTAACATCGATTGACTGGTTCCCTCTCCCAGGCCAGGAATGTAGCAACATGTGCCGCAAGCAGCGGTATAGTGACACCTTCGAGCTCGATTTCAGGCGCCCCCCCTGTGTCGGTTCCTCGACTCCCAGTGTTGGGCTTGCATGAGCTTGCGTTGCCGAGCCTTCCTGCTCCCTTCAATAGCAGTAGAGCAACACGCAGATACTCTCAAAAAAGCAGCCTGCAGGTACCCTGGAAGAAGACTTCTGACATCACTGTCATTTTCCCCTGATGCACCAGCTAGCGTGTGTCAGGTTGCAAGACTTTCCTTTTTGAAGGGTCCTTTCGAGGTCTTAAGGACTCGGGAGGACCCAGCACCACATTTGGTACCCGCATGAACCTCCCAAGCGAAACCCTCCCAATCCGAATGAGAGGTTTGAGATTCCCGGCGAGCTGATACAATTGATACCTTTATGGGGGAGGATAGGGGGTTACCCGGCATCCCGTGGCACCGAAGACATTTTAGTCAGCTTCTGATGCTGCCCATCCTGTGGCATGTCACACTGATGTCCCTGGCCATACACCATGCCCACTGCCCCCTGCTTCGGTTGCTGCAAACGCTGTGGACATATCGGCGTCTCGTTTTGCCAACTTGGGGTGCGCCCTAACAAGCGAGGCAAGTTGGGTGCTGCCAAGAATGGCAGAAAACCCTGGCCTCGTGCAGCGCGAGTCTGTAAGTTAGTATACAATTTTGAAAAATCGACTGCAGGCACGCCGGATCGAAGCTTGTAGAGCTCTGTCGGAACGGTATCCTTCATATGTCCTGATGTCATTTGTCAAGTTTTGCAGATGCTCTCTGGTGTCGAAGCTTTGTGTCAAGGTTCAAGTGTTGCCCACTGTATGTATCGCTTCTGCTCTTTGTACTTCGCCAATTGGAATGTACAGAGTATGCGATGCGTCAGGACTCTGTTCTTGTCTAGGTTCAAGTCACAGCAGCACGTTGACAAGCGAGTTTGTGATGTGATACATGTTGCATTATGAAGGAGATCGACACATTGCAGACATTTTGGCTTCTGCTGGGTATTATGAGCAAGCTGATGTGAGGAAGAAAGCAAGATTCAGCTGCCCGGTCGTTGTTGAGAATTCACTGCTCAGGAGTCCGTACGAGTCCGCTCCCATGTTGCATGTCCATGTCTCTCTGTTTAGGCGGGATTAGACGGACTCGTGAGCCCAGCACGCACTACAGAGCTAGAAGCCAACCTGGCAAGCCAATTTGGGTGGTGGCAAATCGTCGTAGCGATGTTTTCCCTCGATTGCTTCGAGATTCTTCACTTGCAGCTGGAGTGATCTGCAGCTGCCTCTGAAGAGCTCTTCCTAGCAACCAGCGTCCACACCCACAGACCCTGAGCTGGTGCCTCCCCTGCTCGCGGAAAAGGAAGATTTGTCGAGTCCGGACGCGGGAAAACATCTGGTCCACGTTGAAGCAAGCTGGAGCAAGAAGCGATTCAGAAGGAATATAGTATAGACATGGCGAGATGATGTACCGGGGTTTTAAGATTCAAGTCTTTGACAGCTGACGTACTTCCGAGCCATGTTCCTGCCATTCAGGGAGGGGTGGTGCCGGTAGCGCAAGCAAGCGCTCTGAGGCTCTAAGTCTAAGGCATGACGCGTCCCAAGGATTTCGGCCATTGGAGCTGCCCGTGTTTGGCCTTCCTGTGCCATTGGCTGCTCGAGGCTGCGCCAAGCGTCGGCGACAACATGCCCGTGGCGGAAGCAAGGCCTCAGATAGACCTTTTCTCGCGCTTCGTCTCTCTGTCGCTCTCTCTCTCTCTCTCTCCTTGTGTTTTGGGGTGTTTCGGTTTTCAGGGTGGCGTGATTCAAGGGCTTTTGGCGAACTGGCTAGCAGGTTGTTGTCCCTGCTGCCGTTGCCGTTTGGTTGCCGGGTTCCAGTCTTCCCGCGCTTATTGTCTTCGTACCTGCGGGCGCCAGTTATTCTGGAGACCATTGGGAGCTGGTATTCCTTTGTGGTATACTGATGCTACGTTTTTGAACTCATGCCTTTCCTGAGAGCGCTGGTAGTTGTAGCGATTGCCGCCATAGGTGTCTCTGGAGGTGGGTCTGTCTTTGCTGAGGCGCTTTCAGACGCACAGCAGGGCTCTCCCTGCTCTGGGGGTCGCCAATGGGTCTATGGCAGTAGGAAGATATCGCAAGGTGGCATCTTGTTGACTGTGCAGCAATGCTCGGACCACTGACTTGCGTTGATCTTTCCGGCTTATAATGTAGATTGAAGGAAGCTTGTCTTGGCCCATTGAGATAAGCGCGCTGACACGTTTGGACTTGGCGGCATTCATGCAAAGCAAAAAAGGTCTGAGACTGGGGGCAGGGAACCCAGCATAGAGCATCAGATCTTCTCCAGAGGTGGTCCTCTGTTTGCGGTTCAAATCATGGAGGTTTTTGCAGTGGGCCTGAGTGTGGGATGTGACATGTGCTGTAGACAACAGCATTCCGGCCGCGCCTGCCGTTCACGTCCTCAGGCATTCATGTGTTCAGAAAGTGCGTGCAAAGATGCAACCAGCAGCAAACTGTCTGCCCGGGACTGACTTTGTTGCCATCAGATCTTGTTTGGTTGTGATGATGTTTTTCAGGCATACTTTTCCTGGGTTCGTTTCTCGGCTCATCTCCTTCAGCATGCCTTTTGTAAGCTGGGTGGTCAGTTTTCCTAAGTCTTTTGCGTGGTTCCTCGCTGTTCTATCGTCTTGACCATGTGTCTGTGTCACTTCCCGCTCCGGTCCGGCGCGCGTCTCTTTGCCCTGGGGGGCCGCCTTTGGGCTTTCTCTGGCCTGGCAATAGTCTTAGAATCAATATTAATATCAATATGAGTATTATCATGAGTATTAGTATTAGTATTGGTAACAGAAAAAAGAAAAATATTAAGGTTTCCTTCCTTGGTCCTTGCTCCGCTGCTCTGCTTCAGTGTGCTGTCTTCGCAGGTGTCGTGTTGGTAGAAGATGCGCCGAGCAGCTGACACCCCAACACCCCGCTACCGAGCTGTGAATCGGAATATCGAGATGTTCCGGCAGGTCTCTTCTGGCAGAGTTTCACCAAACGGCGACGCCCTACGTCTGTGGTTGCGCGTGTTCGCAAAAGTGAGCCGTGCACAGCGACTTTCCGAGAGTTTTGGATGCTTAAGTGTCAAAAAATGACTCCCTGCAGAGGAGCTTATGGAACGCCTTGGCCAGCAAGTCCTCCGACGCTGCCCGGAGCATGATCCACAGAATTGTGCCAGGCCCAGGGACTCCAGGACTCAGGGACCATGGGCCAATGGGCAAGTGATGTTTAAGGGTCCCGGGCTGCCGAAGCCCTGCCGAGTTGCAGATGGCCCGAGGCGGAATCGTTGACTTTTTTGTCGGCGCTCCGCTTCTGCCCGAGGTGCAAACACGATGCGAGCACATGGCGTGTCGGCATCCCAGCGTGTGTGCAGCGTCCTGCCGCGGCTCAGAGCCTGAGACTGAGAAGTCAGGCCTGTGGTTGGGGGCAGCCCGGTGATCGCTGCTTCATCGAAGAGGGCCACAGAGGTCTTGAGACACGGCCAGGAAGCTTCCCGAAGCCATTTCGCTGCCTGGTCAGGTTATCAGCGAGTTTGCCTGTCAGTCCCTCGCCAACACAGGCAACGGGCACCATGCTTTCTTGAGGCAGAGGCGAGTCACCAGGTGATGCGCCGTAGGATTTGCTCTTTCTTGGCGACTTCCCAGCCATGCCGGTACGAGCCAGCAGCGAAGAAGCATTTGCCTGCAGGCTGGTCGCTGGCAAACTCGAGCGCCACAGGCCAGATGCTCGGATGCTCGGCTCTGTGCAGGGAGGAGAGGCCGTTTTGAGAGCAGCCGAGCAGCCGTGAGAGGCGATGAGTTGCTCAGCTCAGCTGAGGCGCGGGCCAAGGGGCAGCGGGCAGCTAGTGCTTGAGCTGTCTGGTGTTCTCCTGGAGGTAATTTTAGGAGTCACTTAGATACGCCCTAGGTTGGTGCATGCAGGTCCTGCTTCAAAGAGCAGTACAGTTACAATTCTTGCACATATAAGGAAGTGGAGTCTCAGGTGCGCTGTTTGTGGCTGCTTTCTTGTTTTTTTTTTTTTTTTGGGGGGGGGGGCGGACGTCCAGCTACGTCCAGCCGAATGGTTTTAGCATCTGGTACACAGCTGTGGATCCCTTCCGATGCTCGAGAACCTTGAATCGCGCTTAACGTGCAGGGGCGGTCGCAGGACCCCACCCCATCCTACCTCGATAAGAAGCACCAGAGGAAAGGAAGGAAAGTTGGATGCGGCAGGCTCGCAGCACTTCGTTAGTCCTTGTCGGACAGGTTCAAGTCGAAAGTCTCATCAGCCACTTCGACTCGTCGGACTATTCGGAGAAGGAGCTGCGCTGTGTGATAGGATGCGGCTGAAAGGCGAGGTTGTTTTGGCCATATGAGCTGCTTGCATCCGAGCGGAGCATGAGTCTGGAGCGTGTCGGCAACGTCGGCTCCAGCATCCAATGAACCCAAAGCTCCTGAAATCGTGCCCTGAAGCCGTAGACGGGAGTTCAACGCCGCAAGGAACTGCTGGAATTCTCCATGGGGCTGTTGGGTTTCTTCTGGGCCTTTGCCTTCCTCGAGGTGCCTCTTTGAGACCTGCAGCATGGCCAAGCAAATGCAGGTCACGCCAGTAGTGAGGCACTTGCCGAGATGCAGTATACAGTCATCTTCTACGTAAGAGATCAGCGTGCCCCACGCTTGTCCACAAGCCCGATCCTGCATGCCTTGCAGTGTTTGTTGATCTCCCGCTTGGTACCCTCTTGATGGGTCCCAAGAAACAAGAGGGCTTACCTTGACGCGACACTTCGACCAGCGTTTTCGGCCAGGTCAGCTGTGAACTCCGTTCGCGTGGACGGGCACTGTTAGCAGAGATCGGACAGATCCTGGACAGGAATGTGCACAGGCGAGATGAGTGTGGGTGAGGAGAGTTCACATGCTAGCTCTGGTTCAGACAGCGGGCATGACGATCCATGCAGAGCAGAAGCCATGTGCAAAAGCACACTGGCTGCTGGGTTCAACAAAGCAGGTTCGTAACCCTGTTTCTTATTCCGTGCTCGTCGGGCTGTTTGGAACTGGCGGATGATGTTTACTCATTGGGACATCAGGACATGTCGGCCCGTTCACGCCTGTTGTCTTGTATCGTATGGGAGGCCACACGGTAGGCAGCGGGTGGCACGAGCAGGCGCGACTCGCCTCCCGTTGCCGTGCGAAGTCAGAACTTTTCAATTGCCAGCCCTCACAAGGCGTGGGGAGGCAGCATGTCGCGGCAGGCTCGTTGCAAGCCAGGCACAGATGCCTCAATCTTTCTAGCTTTCCAGGATCAACTGCACGTAGGGTCCCCATGTTCTCGAAGACTGGCAGGATCCAACAGAAGCATTAGACAAAGCAGGGAGGAGTCATGGAAATCCTGGGCCCTAAAAGACGACTTCATGCGGATCGACTTTAGCCCTGCATTCAGGCAGCACCCTCACGTGCTCACCTAGCTACCTGGCATCATCGTCGAGGCCTTAATGTGCATTTAGGGTGTTGCGGATCTTCAGTTATTTACGGGTGGGCTCAGTGCGTTGTCAAAGAACTAAGGCTATACTGAAACTCTTGATCCGAAGACAGCGGTGAATTCAGATGTGGATGGGTAAGTCCCTTGACGGATAGTTCTCTGAGGTCGTGCACAAACCGCCGGACTGGGAGGCTTGTCTTGCTGAGACTTCCTCCAGTGCAAGCGCAGGCTGCGTTTAGACTTCTGCTTTTTGTTTGAGGTGGACGGCAAGGCCTTCCATGAACAGGAAGATGCCGCAGATGCCAGACCCTAAGGTCCAACGTCCCGACTCAGGAAAGTCGGCTTCAACAGCCTTTGGCGGTGAGAATCAGCTTCTTCAGAACCCCAACTTCCACTTGAAACGGTGTTATCCACTGCTTGAGTCTGCCACTTCTGCCATATGTGCCGAGACGAGGCAGCAGACCGTCCCAAAGCTCTTGTCCGGAGCACGACCTGACACCCAAAACTGCTCGTACATCTGTCGTGTGTGTGTGTGTGTGTCTCTGTGTGTGTGTGTGTGCGTGCGTGTGATCGTGTATGATTGCTGGGCCTGCTCAACTTCAACGCCTCGGCAAACACAGGCCACTTCGTCCATGGCCCTATCAGCATGGCTTCGCCAAGAGCCAGTGGCCAAGTCGGCCACTGTGGATCCTCCAGGGGGTTCGAGGATGTTCCGGCTCTGGTATCCGTGAAGATTAGCGGGTACGGGAAGATCCGAAGAGATGTGTCTTTGAATGAGCCCAGCAACAGCACGGATGGCAGCGTTGAAGCATGTCTACAGCATCCAGTGCCTCATGTGCCTCTTCCTGTGTCCAGCAGGTGCCCCCATGTATTTAGTAGAGTTTCACGAGACCCAAGCTTGAGGCTGTCTGCGGCGGCGCACCCGCTGCTGTGGCAGCCGGACAATTCACGAGATTTGCGTAGCAGCACCAGCCCTCCTTGAAAGCCGGCATAGCACAGATTCGGCTTGTGAGGACCTGGACCATGGATTTCTGCATCGCCTGGTGTGATGCTGAGAGTCACAAGTAGCAGCAGCACTCGGACCCGACAGACGCCCGACCGGCCTACCGAGCCGGAGCTCCTAAGGACGTGCCAAGTTCAGGGCTGCCCCTTGGCATCTCAGAGCGAGACATGAAAGAAGTCGAGAGAGGATGGGGCCGCCGTCAAAGCTAGGAGCAAGCTCATTCTTTCACAGCTCAGGATTCTTTGCGGTGCAACCTTCTCCGGAATGCTTACCCTTCGCTGGCAGTTAGATACGTACCAGCTGGAGCGACAGCACCTCGGCTTCGTTAGTGCATGGCGTTGTGTCTCGCAACACTACTAGGCCAGCTTTTCGTGAACCGACCGCCAAGCACCAAAGGCCAAGTACCAAAATTCACTGATCAAAAAGACGTCAATGAAGCTAGGCGTCTAGCAGCCACGGAAGCTTCGCCGTGTGACAACCAGAACAGCACATACGACGCAAGTTAACTCTTGCTCTCCCTTTCTCTCTCTTTCTCTCCCCCTCTCTCTCTCTCTTTCTCTCCCTGACTGTCTTCCTCTTGGCTTTGTTAAGGCATGTGCGCGGCAGGTCGACATGGGGATTGATAGAAGTGCCAGGCATATCGATCGCTGTGAAGAATCGATGCATCGCCTTTCGGGCATCATGGAATGCAGGAAAAGGGTTGGATGGGCAAGTTCACGGGCTGTGACGTCGACATGGAGTGCATGCTCCACTTGTCACGGAAGCCGGCATCTGTCTAAAACGGATTTTAAACCTACTTGCAAGTTCTGCCTTGGGTTGCGTCTGGTTCAATAGGAAGATGATGGATGCGGATCGCTCGATGGACCTGTTTCCGTGGAGTTGTTGCCTTGCACGAGGCAGGTTTGCATCAGTCCTATTGCATGAGAGATGGTTTCGAGGGGCTGGACGCCCAAGTCAGAACGCCCGAAGTCATGATGGCTCCCAGGCTACAAGACACCAACCCCGATCTGTTGACTTCATGTTTTCGTGCAAAAACATCACATGTGGCATACAGAGGGGGCAAACACATTCTGCCGCAAACTGAAGTCCGAAAGTGTATGCGCTTTGTTCGCGGACGCGAGGGCCTGTTGACCTCATCGCCTCTGTCGGGACTCATTCGGATGACTCGAATCAGCGGTCTTTCAGACAGTCCCGACAAATTGCAGTTGCGGAGCTCGACACCAGCACACAAGGAGTACAACATTGTAGGGTACAGTTGTATGGGAGTTGGCAGAGGGCCGTTGCTACCACAACATGGCACAGAGAGGTACGTGGTCGTCTGTCACAACCTGGTTCCTGCTGAGCTGAAGGAGGCAGGACGTTGTAATCGCAGGGTAATTACCACCCGGGTGCGGGGACAGGTCTTCGCTAGAGTCCACGCGTCTACCCTCTGAAGGTCGTCGCCTACATCGGCCCCGGAAGCCTTTACTCGCGCAAAAGCTTTGCCGGAGAGGCCCCGATGCCTCTCCATAGGGGTTGGCAGAGGGTGACGGTTTTCAGCGGCAAGCGTGTATTATGCACCGCTTGCAATGAACTTTGCTGTCTCCGACGAAGGGCGGCAAACCTGCCAGCTCCCAATTGGTCGCCTTGAGCCACGCCTCGGGCGTTTGCGGCAGCTACGGGGTGCTCCAAGCTTTCGTGAAGCTTCTGCTATGTCCATGCTCACCCAACTCGCACCATCTTGACCGATTAAGTGCAAGATTCGGAGTGACAGTCGCAACTTTCTTCCGGGTTGGAAGCTTTCGGAGGGGATCCAGCATTATCCCAGCATCTGCCGCGTAACCAGGTACTTGCAATCAGGATCCGCACCGGCCGCCGACATCAAATACGAGACCTGGCCAAGATTTCATCTTGAAGCGAAGGCATGCCAGGAACGAAAGGAATGAGATTGTCTAGGCCCGATGTGCGCTTGCTGACTCTGCTGGAGTGTTACCCCGGTTCTGCTGTGTCGGACTGCATCCTACAGGATCAGCTCATGGTGGCATGAAGCACTGCATAAGTGTGTAATGTTGTCAAGTGAAACCTGCAGAAGGCTTGTTTGCCGGAAGCAGGTTTTGAGGAATAGTGCGTTTTTAAGGGCATGTGTGTGCTGCAAGTCTGGCAGGGCATAAACTGCACATATGAAGTGGCACTCAGCGTTTAGACGCTCAGGACGGTGATGCTAGTAGCCAAACTGAGCGCTTTCTTATCCCTTTTGTTTGCCGAGAGGGTTCCCGGCTCGGAGCAAAACTTCGCTGTGACAGCCTCCTGCAAATTCGAACGTACGCAGACAAGGAGCGCATCTCCTCTTCAAGGACCATGCAACTGCAACTGAGTCGCGGCAGAAACTTCAGAAGAGTTCCATGTCAGAAGTCGGGAGCTTCTGCACAGAGTTGATGAAGCATGCGTGGTCGGACGGTTGTGGCATTTTCCAGAAGGGCTCCATGTAAAGATACAGAACCTCCAAACTGTATAGACAACGGACTTGACCAGTAACAGTTGCAAAAATTTCCCCGAGATAGGATATCAGTTCCCTTGCGCGGCCTTGCAGCAGAGGATGCCAAATACGCGGCAAAGACGGCACTGGTACGAGGGTTGTGAAGGGCACAATTGCTCCGGCAATGGCCGGATATACCTGAAAGCCCAAAGATGGCTTGAGAAGGATTTGATACCATCCGATGTTTCAATCAAACATGAAACTTATCTGGAGGTCTTTGCTGCGTGGTATTGAAAATTCGCTCAAGTTCTTCCCACCGATGATCTGTTCAGGAAAACATTGATAAATACAGTTTTCTCTAGGTCGAACAAGATGAATCATCCGAAGCATGAAAATACAAGAACGATAACAGAAAAATGAATATGACATAGTAAAAAGGTGGTACGAAAGGTACTTAGACTGATGACACATCGGTCTTCGTGCATGTACTTCAATGTTGTAACACTAGTAATAACGATAACAACTTCAATAACCCCGTGAAACTGGTTATCGGAAAAACGAGAATTCATTAACACATTCGATGAAAAGCCCCTAATGGTTTTCGGGGTTCTTTGATTCCGATGGTTAGAAATACGGAAAACCAAGATTTTTCAAAGATGGTTGTGGACCAAGGAGCAGTCACCGGTAAAGGTGATGGGTTTTATTTCTGGGTCTCTACTAATTTCGGAAATTGGGGCTTGTAGATATATGTATA